GGCCTGGGAATGCCTTGGTGTTCCCCCAGATAAGCTGAAGGAGGTGGCTGGGGAGAGGGAGGTCTGGGATTCTCTGCTTAGGCTGCTGCCCCCGCGACCCGGCCTCGGATAAAGCGCATGAAGATGGATGGATGGGATGGATAGTTCTAGTCAGGTTTTGGAAAACACTTATATAAACTGATAAAAGACTTAATTTATCTCACAGTAAAAGGTGAAGATAACTAATGCACACCAAACCTTTCATCTGTGTATGTAAAACAAATATATAATAGTGAGTATAGGTGTGGCCAGCAGAGACATTCACATCAGCTCAGGTTGAGCAGTTTGCAGACAAAGTTGAAGAGGCAAGGCTGAGGTGGTTTGAACATGTGCAAAATGAGGGATAGTGGATATATTACACAAAGGATATTAAAGTTACCAGGCAGGAGGCAACTTTAGACCACAAAGAAGATTTGTGCCTTTAGTGGAAAAGGGATAGTGTGAGGCTGTGGCGACCCCTAAAGGGACCATGCAAAAGGAGAAGATTAATATATTGTCTGATGTTATGATAGAAGTTATTCCCTGAGAAATTATAAGTAATAGACTTACTTCTTGAAACTAAGCACACCATTGTTTTTCTTGTGACATTACCAATACGTTTGATGTGTCACATGGCCCTCTTCCTATTGAAAAAAACAAAAGTTGTATCCAAGATGGCCGACTTCTAAATGGCCCCCCCGGTCACCACCCATCTTGAGGAGTTTGCCCCCTCTCATATACTAATGTGCCACAAACAGGACTTTAATATCACCAACCATTCCCAACGATAGAAGGTCACCAGGATGTCTGAAGAACCACCTGTCCTCAGACATCCTGGTGAACTTCTATCGTTGCACCATCGAGAGCATCCTGACCAACTGTATAACAGTCTGGTACGGGAACTGCTCTGCCTCGGACCGGAAGGCGTTGCAGAGGGTCGTGAAAACTGCCCAGCGCATCGCCGGAGCACCACTTCCTGCCATAAAAGACATCTACAGGAAGCGGTGTCTGAAAAGGGCTGGGAAAATAATCAAAGACCCCAGTCACCCATCACATGGACTCTTCACCCTCCTGCCCTCTGGGAGGCGCTACAGGAGCCTCCGGACTAAGACCACCAGGTACCGGAACAGCTTCTTCCCCACAGCTGTCAGACTCCTGAACTCTGCCTCCTGACATCTGACCCACATTAAGACATGGACTGAACATACACACACACACAATGGACAACTGTACCCTCAAACACACAATAATAACATGGACCGAACCACCACTCACAACTACTAGCACTTTATATAGCCTCTGTAGAAACGATCTACACCCTCACTTATCTTAACTGCACTACTGTATAGCTCTGCGTAAATAATCATTCTGTACATTCGATAATCTTTAATCCTACAACTGTTTACAACTTGCATAGTTCCCATTTCTGTATAGCTGTATATCTCAGATTTCTGTAAAGTTATTTATTTCATATTCTGTATAGTTTTTCATATTTATATCCTGTACATAGCTTGTACCCACTACAGCCTGTACATACTTATAGTTATAGAATATTCACAACATACTTCATACCGTGTACATTATAACATACCATAATAGACCCATTTCTGTAATATACTCACATATCTATATTATTGCTAATATATATTGTAATATATCTATATCACTAAAGCACTTCTGGATGGATGCAAACTGCATTTCGTTGCCCTGTACCTGTGCATGTGCAATGACAATAAAGTTGAATTCTATTCTATTCTATTCTATTTATTACGGTGTATCCATATAAATGGCCCACCCTGTAGAAAAAAAACGAATATTCTTGGCATAATTTATTTCAAAAGTTCCTTCAGTGTTTCTTGCATGTGTAAAGACTACAAGAAAGACACGACTTCAAAAAAGGACAGAAGCATGTTTATTGTTTTTATCTGCTAATATATCCAGAACTATTGTATCTACTGTCTCTTGTATCCAGAACCTATATCCAGGCCTTATATCAACATGGAGTCTTCATCATTACTGGAGCGTAGCGAAAATGTTGTCCTCAACTGCTCTCATGACAATGGAACCAGGACTACATACAGGTGGTTCAAAGGTGGAAAACTCCTGACCAATGAGACAAGGTTCGTCTTTTCTCCTGACCAGAAGCTTTTGACCATCAAGCGGGTGTTGATGGCAGATGATGATGTCTACAGCTGCACAGTGGAGAATCCGGTGGGAAATATGACAAGTCTGCCAATTAGACTGACTGTATACAGTAAGTAACACTGCCTTAGTTAGTTATTGCAATGTCAACAAGGGTTAAAAACATCATGGTAGACACAGAGACATGGGCAGCAGATTTCAGTTGAATTCAGTTTTATTTTTATAGCCTCAGTTCAAAACAAGTTTCATCTCAAGGCCTGTAAATAATTGCATAATTTAATAAAGGTGGTGATTTTGACTAAGTATTGCAGTGCACTGCCTAATATATTAAATTCAGTAGTATAATTTCAGGTGTTTAGTTTTTGTTCCGTTAACAGTTTAATAGCTCATTTGAAAGACTGGTTCAGGCTGTCCTGAGGGTGACATAACTTATATAACTATGCAGCTGTAAGAACACGGCAGGTCTACATAAAGTAAAGAAAATAGTTCCTTCAGTTGATCAGAGAGGATGCTTTTCTACATTGCTAAATTTTCCCTAAATCTTTTGACAGATTTCTCTCAGAAATTACAAATGTCTGCCTTCTGGTAGGGATGGAGGAAAAGTCTGAGGTTTTTGAAAGCCAAAGAAAGGTGTCTTTGAAAGACCTGCATAATGCATTACGTATCTGCCATTCACAGCAGACACATGAGGCATGGAGCAGGTCGTCAAAGACACAGCTCAGTAAGTAAGTAACATCTCATGACTCAGATCTCTGGAGGAGCGGGAAAGTAATATAAAAAAACACTACATGAACCACAGTTGGCCACAGTTGACTGTTGTTAAAAGATTAGGTTTAAGCAGGGTTGACAACATACACATTGCTCATCAATGATAATGTGATAGTGATGTGAAAGGCTGGTACAAACTAGTACAAAAATAGTGAAAAGCAGACCCAGAAGGTATATGTGTGTCACATGGGCATAAAGAGAAGGAATACTGTGTGTTATACCATTAGCTCTAGTTGCACATTTTGTTTTGTTAGTGCCTGTGTTGTTCATTAATTGTAATCTTGTACATTCTAAACAGAAAGAAGTTCCCTTTATATTATCCTTTCTACTGGAGGCATCTTTCTTTTGATCACCTTGGTGACTATATGTGCCTGCTGGACACCTTCTAAAAAGTAAGACTGGCTATTAAATAATTGAATTCAATGCAAAGTATCACAAAACTGATCAAATATTTTGTCTACACAGACCAAGACAGCCCCCTAAAAAGCACCTCTCCAGGTTTTATAACCGCTCTCACCAAACACCAATCAATCACACAGGTAAAGTATAGCTGTGATGACAGTTATGAAATGTGAAAACGAAGTGTGAATTTGTATTCAAATAATAATAAATTTGAATACTAATTTATTTATTTATTTATTTATTTAACTTCATCACAGATTGTGTGCTTCCAAAGATGCCACAGCACAATGGGATAAATGCAGTAACTTCACTTTATATCCTCCAGCAAAAGGTAACACTTTTCATTAACGGTCTTATTTTGTTACATTCTGTGAGTCGTGAATAACACCACAACAAATCTGAAGCAATCTGAAACTATCATCTAACAAATTTTGTCTTCTATTGCATAATCTTTAGGCATAAAACCCACAAGTCACTACAAGGAATACATGCAACATTATGTTCTGGCAAAAAAAGTACTAAGGAATGTTTATAAAACTAAAGGCTAGCCAGTTTAATAGCTGCATGGACAGACAGACCAGCTATAAGGTGCTCATTATAAACTGTCTCATTAGCTGCATATACTTCAAAACCAAGCTATCAAAGTCTTTTTGGTCATTTAATAGCACCTTATCAGTCTCACAGGCTAAGCTCAGTAAACCGAAACCAGTGAGTTTCGCTATTAGGTAATCTGAGAGCCATCTACACAAATAGCCACAATGAAATTTAATAAAAGTAAAATATTACTTTTGGAGAGTGAAGTTGGGCTCATGTCACTGTGTTTTGCAGGATCCTTCCACAGATGACTCTTCCAGCAACAGTATTGGATCTCCATCTGAACTTGACAACCCACCATGCTACACCACTTCCCCCACATATACTGATCCTATTACTCTTACTGCTGGTTCCCCTGCTCGCATCTCCCGTAAGCATACCTGATGGGTCATCGGTTTAAACAGTCTACAGTACAACAAGCAGAAGGTTACATGCTCTATATTCTACTGCTCCGAAATGCAAAGTACTCTAGACATCGTGGAGAGTGTCGTAAAATGAAGAAAATGCT